TCAGCCAGTGAGCGGGAACCGGTCTGTATGTGGGATCCGAACCCTCGGCGGGAGCACTGCCACGCTCCCAAGCGGCGCACTGTAGCAGTGCGCCCCCGGGCCGGCCCAGGAAATTCTTTTTTGTTCATTTTTAACTCAATAATTTGTGAGGAAGCTCAATTTTTTGCAAAAAAGCTTAGGTCACATTTCTGTGTCAAGTTGTTTTCAGCTCCTGCTTATTTATTTTTTTTCCTCCCCAATTATGGGTGAGAAGAGAGGAATAACTGGACATAGGAACTCTCTGCAAGAAGATAAACAAACAGTAGTATTACTAGAAACTTCTTTCCTATCTGGTTGGCCCAACTTTATGTAAAAATAGGGTATTGTAATATCAAAGTATCTTGGGATAGAAAAATTTATATGGGTTCTTTTTATCCTGGTTTGGAACTCACTAAATAGAATATTTTAAACACACGCTAGCTCCCTTCAAATTTATTCCTTCACGGGTATACATTGCATCATTAATGTATGAATATATAGGGCCGAGCCTGTGGCGCACTCGGGAGAGTAAAATTTATATGGGTTCTTTTTATCCTGGTTTGGAACTCACTAAATAGAATATTTTAAACACATGCTAGCTCCCTTCAAATTTATTCCTTCACGGGTATACATTGCATCATTAATGTATGAATATATAGGGCCGAGCCTGTGGCGCACTCGGGAGAGTGCAGCGCTGGAAGCGCAGCAGCGCTCCTGCCGCAGGTTCGGATCCTATATAGGGATGACCTGTGCGCTCACAGCGCTCACTGGCTGAGCGCGGTGCAGCCGGTCTCAAAAAGGACAAAAAAAAAAAAAAAAAAAAGTATGAATATATAAATATAATACAATTTCTTCCTTAACCCTTTAACTATATGCTAATGTTCATACTCTCAAGCATGCGTATGTCTTATATAACACTTGTATAGATACTAAGAGATAAAGGTATGCTGCTACACATTCTTCTTGGAACAAAGTGAAGTATACATAAATTAAAATTTATGTATTACCCAGTTATGTACTCTCTAAAAGAGTAGGTAGACATACATAAATGGTTATTTGATTTGATGTTTAGGTAGATGTTAAGTGAGTGGGAGAGAGGGGCCTCATCAGCAAAGTAACCATACAATGTTAATAAGAATGAGAACAGTCTTAATATTTAACTAAAAATCATAGTAAATTTGTAGTACTTTTCAATGATACTTTTAACTGGTATGCAAATGACATAGAGCCATTTATAAACAGCTGATATTTCTTTATAGTTTGACTTTATTTGGTTTTGTTCTCATAGATGTTTTCTCCCAGATGTCAGATTCCAATGGCTTAATGATATTTAGCAAGTTTGACCAGTTTCTGAAGGAAGTTCTGAAGCTCCCAACAGCTGTGTTTGAAGGGCCATCTTTTGGTTACACAGAGCACTCAGTCCGCACCTGTTTTCCACAGCAGGTAAGGACAGTGGTATAGAACTTAGGACTAGAAGAGCACTCCTTCATCCCTCCACCTTTTAACAATTGCACCAGACTTCTTCCAGTCTAGGATATAAGGTCTTGAGTAGGGGAGAAAAAAGCTTTAAAGGGGGAGGGAGCGGATGAATAAAAGGGGGGGGATGAAAAATTTGTGGGGCAGAGGGGTCTTTACTGGAAAAAAAAAAGATAACATTTGAAATATTTTAAAGAAAAATGCTTAAGAAGTGTTTACATTATTGCTACTGGATCTATATTACTTTTCCAAGTGAGCTCTTTAAACTGTGAAATATAGGAATTTTAATATAAATATATTTGTAACAATAGTGGATCATTGTTTCCTGAGCACTGGAGACAAGGAATGCTATACAGCTCTCAACTGCCAGCATGAAATCATTCAAGGGCACGCTATCATTTTTATATACAAAAAAGATTAATCTGATTTCCTTTTGTGGTCTTGACCTAGAACTTGGTTAAGTGTATTCCAGAGATCTTAGCTGTGCTTCGAAGGACTAGGAACAGCGTAGACACTGGCTGTAGCATTTGCTTGTCAAGGCAGAGATTAGATAAGATAAAAGAAGCTTAATGTTAAATTTACTTAGAAACTTCTGGAAAGTGGGGAATAAAAAATCTATGTTAAAACTAATGGGTAAAAGATTAATACTAATAGGATATTGACATAGTTTTAAAGTATGTCCCCATCAGCTAATTGTTAATTACACACGTAAAAAAAACGTAATTTTACACTTGAGAAACCTATCTGATATCACTTTAACCAAGTGATCAAAGTCCGTATCACCAGTAAAGGGATAAATTGATGTCATATGCCTCCTGATAGGATGCACTGAGAAGTGTACAGTATCACTTCTCTGGTACTCTTGCCAAAAAAGCACAACATGAACCTTATCTTGAGGAAACATCAGACAAACCCAAATAAAGGAATTACTCATAAATGTCAGTGTCATGAAAGAAAAAAAAAATTAGGATATGTTCCAGATTAAAGGAGTCTTGGAGAGTCATGAAAACCAAATATAGGGGCTGGTTGGTTGGCTCAGTTGGTTAGAGTGTGTGTTATAACACCAAGGTCAAGGATTTGGATTCCCATATCAGCCAGCTGCCAAACGCCCCCCCCCCAAAAAAAAAAAAACCACAAAAAAACTGAATGCAACTCATGATCAGGATTTTCTTCTGTTATTAAGGATATTATTGGGACAATTGGAAAAATCTGAATAAAGTTTATAAACTAAGTAATTGCATTCTGACAATGAATGTTAATTCCTGATCTTGATATTTGTATTTAATAATGTAAAAGAATGTCCTGGCTTTTAAGAAATTTGACCTGAAGTAATTAGGGGTAAAAGAGCATCCCTTTTGAAGTGTTAACATTTGAGGAATCTAGGTTAAGGGAAAATGGAAAATTTTCTGGTAATCTTATAACATTTCTCTAAGTCTGGAATTATTTAAAAATAAAAAATTAAAATGTAAAAGGAACAAATTTAAAGGTTTGAGAACTGAAAGGATGTTGTAAACTAGATCCTCCTGACCTGTGATACTTTGATGCACAAAAGAACCAAAACACACATGTTCATGCACACAAACACACCCCGATTTTGCATTTAAAGAATTCATATTTATCTGAATTCAGACTATCAAACAATATTTTACAGTTTGTTTAGAGGTTACACAGCATTAGCATTCAAGGTGGCACTATAATAATGGAGAATTATTTTTGGTCACTTCTGAGATGTTCTTACCAAATTTGTACACACTTTGGCTGTTAGGTTTTGTGTAAATTTGTCTCTGTACACTGCTTATTTTTTCTCCCAGCATAAATGGAAGTCAGTATCAGCTTTTCACATGTTAAAAATGTCTCCGTGCTTCAATTTAATCTAATAAAACATAGTTTGCCTTTTTCCCCTGAATATACATTTTCAAATGATGTGAGGTCGTCTAGACATATCCTGGTACAGGAATGTCCTGCAGGCATGAAAGTGCCCTTCGGGGGCGTTAGATGAGGATGTGGATGGGGAGGAAGCCCCTGACAGCTTTCCCACACTTGTCATGTGCAGCTCGTCTTGCTGCTGCTGCATTAGTGGCACCATGACCTCAAATGGTTGCCAACACAGGACTCTTGGGGTAATTTTGCATGTGATATACACATGGCTTTTCACCCAAAGGCTTCCTGGAGGTCAGGCTAAACATAGATCAAGTTCTGGAATGCTACTCTTAAGTAACATAGTGTCAGAATGGGGTAGGGAATTTATACAGGGACGTCCCAGCAAAGAACAGTGTCTGACAAATGGATGACGATTATGTAGGGTGCTGAACCTAGAGTGATCTTTGATTTAATTTTAACATGAGTACTATGATATGAATCTAATGTTGGAATACAAGTTTAAAATGTCCAAGAAATTAAAAAACTTTTAATTGTTAATTCTAAGACTATCCAGGACTCTGCAAATTATCTTATATGCCACACATGATTGCAAGGCCTTTGAACTCACAGCCTGATTGTTGCTTTTCATGTGCTTCAGATTCCTGTAAAAAAAGTCAATCTGAATTTTGATGTATGCCAAAGTGGACAAGTCAGAGAAGCTTGTCTCAGTCTAGAGAAACTTGAGTTTTCCTAAGTCCATGAAGATAATAAAAAAAAATGCATCAGAAGAAATAGAAACTACTGATAAAATGAGCAAAAAATGAGACTGTACAAAGTTTCATCCTGCAAGAATTAAATTCAATGAGTTTTGGGTTTCTATTTGAAAATGGGCTTTTCTCATACAGTTTGCTTTCCTACAGTATGTTTTCTTTAATGTTAGTTGGCTCATGCACCGTCAGACAGAGAGAGAAAATAGCAATGTAAAGTGGAAATTGCATTGCTAATTCACGTGCGGTTTTCCCCCAGCATGTTGATGTTCTGGGCTGAACAAAGAAGTGATCACAACTACAGAGAAGGTATGGATATTTTAAGAAAGTAGCTGAAAATTCTGCAGTACCTTCTTTTAGTGAAAGAAGTGGCAGGTTAGAGGATTCATGAACTGCTTTGCTTTCTACGGTGCTATGTAGAAGCTGTGGGTGTGGATGGAAAAGCTGCAAAGGTGTTTCCCCTACTGTGTTAACATAACTCATTGATGGAATCAGCATTTTCCTATATCTAACATTTAGTTTTGATAAAACTGATCTGTCTTGGAAGTTGTATCGCCTTTATCGTGAAGAAGGAAAAGCTGTCTCAGGCTTTAAGGATGAAACGTATCATCTGACAGTGACTGTTAGTGGAAATCCTGTATTAATTTAATTGTGCTGGTATCATTTTCATTATTGTTATTGTTTTGTTCACCCTCTGTTTACGAATGTGCATACATTTTTAGTGGTTGTTCCAACCCTGTTTTTTTCATACATCTTATTATTTTTAAAATTTTATTTATTTTTTTAAAGAAAGTGTAATTTTATTAATATTATTTTTTGCATTCTAGGATGTTGTTGCGGAGCAGTTGAGGGGGAGGGGGAGGGTGAGAGGGGAAGGAAATGGGCTGGAAGAAGGAGGAAGGAGGAGGGGTGGGATTGAGGCCTGTGGCACACCCTTCATTCCCACAGGGGAGACTGGGGGTGGGGGGCTTCCAGCGGTGGCTTGGTCATTGCTGGGCTGGGTGCAGATGTCAAGGGTGTGGCAAAAGCCCTCGCCCCCTGCCATCCCAGCTCGGGAACCCAGGGCCCTTCTTGCTGTGGCTTGGTGGTTGTTGCTGGGCTGGTTGCACATGTTGGAGGGGCATGGCCGAGACCCTCAGCCCCCCACTGCCACGGCTTGGGAGAGCCCGGGTGCTTCCTGTGGCGGCTCGGTGGTCGCCGCTGGGCTGGCTGCAGGTGCCAGAGTGGGTGGCTGAGGCCCTTGGCCCCCCAGTGCCCCAGCTCAGGAGTGTCCCAGGCTTTTCTCACAGCGGCTTGGTGGTTGCCGCTGGGCTGACTGTGGGTGTCGAGGGTGGTGGGGCTGAGGCCCAAGGTCCTATACTGCTCTGGCTTGGGAGAGCCTAGGGTGCTTCCTTCAGCAGCTTGGGGATTGTAGCTGGTTTGGCTGCATGAATTGAGGAGGCGTTACTAAAGCCCAAGTTCCCCCACCGCCCTGACCTAGGAGAGCCGGGGGTTCATCCTGAGGTGGCTTGGTGGTTGTAGCTGGGATGGCTGTGCGTGTGGTGGTGGGGCATGGCCAAGGCCCATGGCTCTCCACCGCCCTGGCTGAGAGAGCCTGGGGCACTTCCTGTGGTGGCTCAGTGGTCCCTGCTGGGCTGGCTGCATGTGTCAGGGGGCATGGCCAAGGCCTTCATTCTCACACCCTTGGGATTAGTTGCAGATATCAGGGGGCATTGCTGAGGCCCCCAGCCCTCCCTGCTTTATGGCTTGGTAGCACAGGGGACTTCTGGTCCTTCTAGGTGTTATAGGTGTTCTTTGGTGAAATGAGACCTTTATTAGTTAATGTCAAACTTTGTCTCTGGTTGTGGGTACTTTATTTTTTCTTTCAGTTCTGTGTTGGATTATTTGCTTTTCCCACCACTCAAACTCTGTGCTGTAACTAATTTGTTTTTCTTTGCTTACTTCTAAAATGGGGGAACTTCATGCAGGGACCAATACTTGAGCTGTGTGGTTGAGCTAAATTGCTGCTTTGCTGCTGATTCCCTAGGGAAGACTTTTCATGCAACTCAGGTTTTAATGGTTGACTTCATAGGTACTTACTGCTCTTGAGAGATCTAGTACATCTGGGTTGTCTAGACACTCTGGTCTGGGCCTGAGTCTTTTCAGCAAACTGCACCCCCTGCAGTTCTACATTCCTCACCAGTGTCCACCGAGTGGTCCTGTGCTGATTGGGGGGCAGATTGGCTGTCCTTGCTGTGCCCGTGTTCCCCCAGTGGGCCTGTCTCCCCCACTACCTGTGCTGCAAACACTTCCCATGGGGTGGGCCATGTGCCGGTCCCTTGTGATGACTCACTGGCCTGT